TGTCCGTGTCCTACCAACCTGTGTGGTATACTGAGCCTGGAGCTCCTTCCTGTACGTGTCTCCTCCTTCTCATTACTCATCTGTGCAACCTTTTATTACCTCTCCTCTGTCCAGACTTGTGTTTCCTCATCCTATACTCTGTTCATCAGTCTATACCTTCCCTGGAGCTCCTTCCTGTACACTCTGCTCATCTGTGGCCAGCAGTGTCTCCTCTCCCTTCCTACTGCTGATCAGTTATCTGACCAACCTTGTGTCCCCTCTGCCTATACACGGCTCGCATATCTGTATTCTGCCGCCCTGTATGATTGTATCCATCCTGGAGCTCCTCTCCATGCCCAGTGTTCATATGTGGCCAACAAAGTTATCTCTGTTATGACCTCACTGTTGTTCTTTCAGTATACACCAATTTATGTATTTTCTCTGAACACACTGCTATTTGTATCTGTTCAAACTTGTCACCTCTTACTTCCCACTACTGCTGCACTGTACAACCTATATCTTCTCTAATCTGTCCAATCCTGTGCCCCCACCCCTTCCTACACACCGCTGATCTGTCTGTACCCTGACAGTCTGTAGATCTGTATCTAGCCTGGAGTACATCTGATTATCTGTGTCCAACAGTGTGCCCACTCTCTCTTTCCACTCCTGACCTGCTGTATCCCCTCTCTGTACACAGTGCAGATCTGACTTGTCTATCCCGCACTTACTCTCCCTTCCCCACTGCCGACCTGTCCATCCTGCACTTACTCTCCCTTCCCCACTGCCGACCTGTCCATCCTGCACTTACTCTCCCTTCCCCACTGCTGTCCTGTCCATCCTGCACCTCCTCTCCCTTCCCCACTGCTGACCTGTCCATCCCGCACTTACTCCTTCCCCACTGCTGACCTGCTGTATCCCCTCTCTGTACACAGTGCAGATCTGACTTGTCTATCCCGCACTTACTCTCCCTTCCCCACTGCCGACCTGTCCATCCTGCACTTACTCTCCCTTCCCCACTGCCGACCTGTCCATCCTGCACTTACTCTCCCTTCCCCACTGCTGACCTGTCCATCCTGCACCTCCTCTTCCTTCCCCACTGCTGACCTGTCCATCCTGCACCTCCTCTCCTCTTTCCCACTTCTGATCTATCCAACCTGCATCTCCTTTTTCTGCCTGCTGACCTGTCCATCCTGCACCTCCTCTCCCTTCCCCACTTCTGACCTGTCCATCTTGTATCTCTTTTGCTTCCCCATTGTTGACATGTACAATGCAGATCCCTTCCCACTGCTTGCGTCTATCACCACACTGTGCACGTTGTTGATATGGCCACAGTGCTATTCTGACTTGTCCATCCTGCATCTCCTCACCCTTCCCCACTGCTGACTTGTCCATCCCAAGTATCCATTCCCCTCCCGCTAGTGGTCTGTCCAGCCCACATATCATCTTCCCCCCCACTCTGCAACCTATATGTTCTCTTATCTATACAACCCTGTGTCCCCTTTCCTTACACACTGCAACCCTGTGTCCCCTTTCCCTAAACACTGCTGATTTGTATGTATTCTGCCAGCCTGTATGGCTTTATCCAGCTCGGCGCTCCTCTTCTTGCAAAGTGCTCATCTGTGTCCAACAGTGTGTCTCCTCTCCCTTCTCACTGCTGATCTGTGCGACTGTTTCCCCTCTCCCTTCACATTGCTGATTCTTCCAACCTGCATCGGCTCTGCCTTCCTGCTGCTGGTTTGGCCTACTTGTGTCTGCATTCACGTCAGTCTTCATCTTCTCCCTGTACACACTCCTGATGTCTCTGCATAGCCAACTTTTGTCTCTTGTCACTTTGTATTGCAGATTGGTGCAGCCAACATTTTCCTCTAAGTCCACACTGCCGATTTATCAAACCTTGTTTCTTCTCCAGGTGTCTATTTCTCTACAGCAGACTGGCCACTGGTTGCCTTGACCTAATATGTTGTGTCATTAATCTGTAGGATTTGTATGGTCATTAATAAAGTGACTTTAATCAGCAGATAAATTCATCTATCGTGTGCTTTGGCCTTGTTGAGTGATGTAGTTACTTTATCTCAGAAGGAGGAGGTTTGTTATTTGTAGTATAATTGTTGTATGATACTCCTCTGCTACAGTTTATAGAGCCTGGGATAGGAATAGAGCTATTTGTTGTTCATCTTGTTTCACTTTTTATTGTACCATAATGATGGCTACATCTCCTGCTTTGGTTGTGGATTTGTTGTAGTCGGTTCTCAGCGCTGTAGCTTGTACTCAGGGTCTGTGATATGTCTTACTACAGATATTAGGGATCTCTTAGATTGCGGGTGGTTTTTATGTCTGTAGGCCCTTTTAGACGTCTCTGGACACATGGTCTCGGGGGACAAAGCAAAGGCCAGGAATGAAATTCCTTAGCCATATATTAGTTTTTTTCCTGACATGGATCGGTACTCGGGAGCTACCCCACCCTCCTGCTCAGGACATATCCCAGTGGTGCAAATTAACTGGAATGCACCTACAAATTATTCGCCAATTCTCACTCTTCACACTGTAGCATGCTTGCTGTGTTGCTATTTGATCGGTTTTAAAAACGTTACTGTTAGAATTTTGTTCAAGAAAAATTTTCCATCCTGCTTCTTAAGGCGGCCATATACCTTACAACCATTGTACAACTTTTTTTGTGTGCAGACATGTCACCCTCGTTCAATTTTCTTACAACTAGCCCATCATGCATAGACCAATGTAGTTCGCAATTAACACTCGTCATCACCACCACCTGGCCAATTTTCATCCATCGAAAGGACAGATTTTTGTTTGAGCATGTGCAGATTTCATCTTGAGATTTTTGTTGCACAACAACGCCACTAACCTGTCAATTTTCATCCAATTAGACAAAAGTTTTCTAGCAGGCTTGAGAGTCAAAAATCTGTACAGTAAATGCAGTTGTGCACTTCCCATCAACTGGCAGATTTTCTGACGAAAATGCAATCGCAGACAAAAATCTCCAGATAATTGTGAGGTGCATGGGCACCTTTTTAGATTTGTTTTTTTTTGTTTTTCATCACTGCAGTAAAAATTAATCGTCCATTTAACCCCATTAACTATTGTAAAAGTGAATGAACATTCCAAAAAGAATTACCGTATTTTTCGCTCCATAAGACACACTTTTTTCCCCCCAAAAGGAGGGGGAAAATGTGCCTACGTCTTATGGAGCGAATCCCGACGCCCGAGACATGCAGTTTCGGGCGCTGGGCGAGTAGTAGGAGCCACTGCTCGTTTAGTACGAGTGATCTAGTGAGATCACTCGTATTAAAGCCGAGCAGCGGCGGCGGCGAACGTATTCAGCAGTAGGAGCCACTGCTCATTAGATCACTCGTATTAAAACCGAGCAGCGGCGACGATGGAGATCACCATAGAGCAGACAAAGAACGGACTTTCTTCGTCTGCTCTGTGTGATCACTGAGACCGTGGCGCTGTAATCACAGCGCCACCTGTCTCAGCGGTCACTAACTGCAGCTTCTGTCACTGCTTCTATCATAGAAGCTGTGTCAGAAGCTACAGTCTGTCGAGTGCTCCATAAGGCGCGCCGGACCTCCCTGCGTCCTATGGTCCGGTGCGTCTTATGGGCCGCAAAATACGGTATTTTGACTAAAATTCTAATGGTGTATGAACAGCTTAAGGTGCCTATATGTCACGGGCACGTAGACAAAATATTTTTTGGTTGTCTGTGAAGTTTTAATAGTTTCAGTAATGCATGACCTTCTAGGTCTACATTAGTTCCACAAATCGGTTACTTCACTTTGCTAATTGCAAAAGGCTACTATAATAATGGAGCCCCATAGTTAAAGAAGAACTTCATAAAAAATGTATTAACCTTTGCAGTGGGGCTACCCTTGCACTGCAAGAGTTAAGCCCATATTTGTATCTAGGTGCTAAAATAACACAGTTCTACTCACCGGAAGTTCCAAGCCAGCTGGCTGTCCAGCCTCTCTCCCCCTCTGTGCAGCATTGGAATCTTCCTCAGATCTATATACTGTGTATAGACAGGATGATTTACGGGACCTGCAGCGAAGGGGGAGAGACGTTGGAAGGGCCAGTCTAAAGGTGCCCCATACACTGCACGATTATCATGCGATAATCGTATGCGATCGGTTTTTCGTACGATAATCGAGCAGTGTGAACGGAGACGTGCGACCGTTTCTACTGTACGGTCGCACGTCTTCTGTCGAACCAGCATGTTCGAAAACCAGCCGGGAATCGTACGTTTCTCGGCTGGTTAGAACGGTGCTCAGAAGACAAATGCCAAACGGCAATAATTACACTATTAAAAGAGATTATGAACTAACTGAAAGAAGCCAACTGTGGGCATTTTATGGACATTCAGATAGGGATATTTTCTTAACTAGCAGCAAATAAGCTTTAAAACAAGCCACCATTGACCTCTGTAGCCTGTGTGTCTATGGCTGGGCACACACCTTACAACCATGATGGTTGTAAGGTACTTAAAAAAACGTCCGATCTGCCCATCTTGCATAGGCAGATCGTACTTGCGATGATGATCGCAAGCCACGCCCCCTGAGGGGCTGGCTTCCGATGACTGCAATGCCGAACGGGCAGTGTGCGCTTGCGCACACCGGCCCGTACGGCTTTTATCGTACGGACATGCCACAAACCCGCCGAACATCGTACGATGCTCGGCGGGTTTTCGAACATGTCCGTAAGTTAAGTCGTGCAAACTTACAGTAGTAGAGGTGGCACGGCTTCCACACACCTTACGATAATCATACGAAATCCCGCGATTATCATACGATTTTCGTAAGGTGTGTGTGGGGACCTTTATGAAAGGGGGGGGCGACAAGACTTGCAGTGGTTTTTCCAACCAGACTCCACTTTGTTAACTGCAACATAGTTGACTGAAAACATTACTTTTAATTTTTTTATTTTCTGATGGTTTCCTTCAATAATTGCCTTTTTGTTTTTTCATGTTTTGCAGGAGTCCATCATGAACCCGACTTAATGCCAACATGCTCCAGCGTTAATCAAATCCTCTAGAGAAACAAGAATTCAGAAACGTTTGGAACTTCAGCGAGGTGGCTACAGGCTGCTGTATCACCACAACTACACAAGCCTTTCTCATTTGGGTTTTACAGCACGATGGCGAGTAAACGAAAATCAACCACTCCTTGCATGGTGCTTGCAAGCGAGCATGATCCAGATGTAGAAATGAATTCCGACGGCGAGGAAAGTTCACCGTCGGTAACAAGCGTGGAGAACCCCGCTCCAGAAAGCGCTGTACCCGAGGGGGTGACAAAGGATGGGGATGCACTTGAACCTAGTGATTCAGACAATCAGCCAAGTAAAATAGTTGAAGGTGGTTATGAATGTAAATATTGTTCATTTCAGACTCCGGACTTAAATATGTTTACCTTTCATGTAGATTCTGAGCACCCCAACGTTGTACTAAATTCTTCCTATTTTTGTGTGGAGTGTAATTTTCTCACTAAACGGTATGATTCGCTTTCAGAGCACAACACGAAGCACCATCCCGGGGAGGAGAACTTTAAGTTAACCATGGTTAAGCGCAACAACCAGACCATTTTCGAACAGACTGTTAACGATTTGACCTTTGATGGAAGTTTTGTCCAAGAGGAGAACCAGGAGCAGTCAGAGTCTAACCCTTCTGCGATTTCAATCAGTAAAACGCCAATCATGAAAATAATGAAGGATAAATCTGAGAAGAAAAGGATCACTGTATCACAGAATGCAGGAGAAGATGGAGTGGAGGAGAAAGAAAATATACAAAGTGAGCCAAAGGTGCAACCGACAGTAGAGCCCAAGACTGCTCCTGTTGTAACAGAACCTGTAAAAACAAATGCTACAATTATCACCAGCAGCCAGGAGTTACCAAATCCGGTTGTAGCGCCTGCTACTGTACTTCAGCCTGGGTTGGCACAGGTTATCGCAACTGTCCAGGCACAGCAAAATATCCTTTCAAAAGTCTTAATACCTGTCAACAGCATTCCAACGTACAATACTGCATTAGACAACAATACTCTTTTGCTAAGTAACTACAAGAAGTTTCCATACCCAACTGTTTCGGAGATATCCCTCCTTGCTGCTCAAACTAAATGCACTGAGGAGCAAATTAAAATTTGGTTCTCAGCCCAGCGACTAAAACATGGTGTTAGTTGGACACCAGAGGAAGTAGAAGATGCACGGAGGAAGCAGTTTAATGGCGCAGTGCATACCATCCCTCAGACAATAACCGTGATTCCTGCACAGATTTCATCAGGCGCTAATGGCCTGCCTTCCATTCTGCAGGCGTGCCAAATTGTTGGCCAGCCCGGCCTCGTTCTCACCCAAGTTACAGGAACCAACGCAATACCGGTGACTACTCCAATAACGTTTACTGTGGCTGGTCTCCCGAGTAATGCACAGCTCCACGCAAGCCAAATTCCGCATGCCCATCCAGTGACTGAAACTAAAAGAATTGCCGCTATCCCAAGTACACAGCTGCCAAAGCAAGAGCCTATCTTGATAGCCGATGTTTTCGGTTTGCGCACAAAGAAGACAAAAGAACAGTTGATGGCTCTAAAATTGAGCTATTTGAGGAACCAGTATCCTCACAATAGCGAAATTGAGCGACTTATTCGATTAACCGGCTTAACGAAAGGAGAAATTAAAAAGTGGTTTAGTGACACTCGGTATAACCAAAGAAATGCCAAAGGCAGTCATGGTATGCATTTGACCAGCGACCCCAGTGGCACCATCATTATTGACTCTAGTGATGAAACAAACGAATCCCCAACATCTGTCGTATTGACCTCTCCACGCAAGCAGAGTTGGAACCCGTTTCCAGATTTTACTCCCCAGAAATTCAAAGAAAAGACACCTGAACAGCTGCAGACTCTTGAGGAAAGCTTCCTTAGCAGCACAGTACCAACGGACGATGAGCTGAGTAAGTTGAGAGTGGTCACTAAACTTACTAAGCGAGAAATTGACGCCTGGTTTGCAGAAAAAAGGAGATCGATGGGAGTAAAGGAGGAGCCTGGTGCTTTAAGTGAGAGCTTAGACTTTGAAATAAAAGACGAAATGGATGATGAAAGGTCAGCAGCTTTTGTTGCGGCAAAAATGGCAAAAAAGAGCCCAGAGCAGTTGACCGTACTTAAGAATATGTTTATCCGCACACAGTGGCCAAATCCAGCAGAATACGACCAGCTGGTACAAGAAACTGGACTTGCTAGAAGTGACATTGTTGGGTGGTTTGGCGATACTAGGTATGCTGCTAAAAATAATCATCTGAAGTGGTTTATGGAGTATCAAATATCCAAAACAAGCAGTCCGACAGTTATGAATGGACAGAGTAATACACGTAGAAGGGGAAGAGGCAGGCCTAGGGGTAGAGGACGAGGCAGGCCTAGAGGGCGACCAAAAGGACGGAGGACAAACAGCTGGGAGAGGCCACCTCCACCAGTAAAGCAGAAGACTGGAAGAGCACTGCTAAAAGACTACTATTTAATGCATAAATTTCTCAATGAGGAGGACTTGGACGAATTGGTTTCCAAATCTCGCATGGGTTACGAGCAGGTGAGGGATTGGTTTGCTGAGCGAATGCAAAGAGAAGATGCAGGTTTGGATCCCTTTGAAGATGAAGATGAGGATGATGAAAACCTTTTGGATGATTTAGATGATGAGGAAGAAATCGAATCTGATGACAGCGACACTTGGGAGCCCCCAAAACATGTCAAGCGCAGGCTTTCGAAAATGGAGGATTGACGAGTAAGTAAATGCCTACGAAATTCCTGCTTGTGCCCTCATGTCACCTGAGCTCTCCCCATACCTGGCTTATTTCAGAAAGTACCTGAAGCCAAAATTGTTTTTTGTTTTTGCTGTGTCCTTTTGTAGAAAGTTCCCTTCACTTCCTGTCCTGTCACCAGAACAAGTTTTCTCTTTCCATATTTCTATTCCTGTTTTAGTGACCGCTCAAAATTTCTGTCCCATTGAAAGCGGTGACCAGGACAAAGAATGAAGGTGAATCTCTCTAGTGGGGACACGGCAATAAAATCCCGACGGGTTCTAACTTCTAACCACTTACTGCTGTATCTACAACTTTAAAAAAAAAGAGCCTCTTCAAAGTGTACTCCTTTTCACTTATTTCTTATGCATGGTCATACGCACATTTGTAAAATGCCAGGATCGGCCAAAAGTTTTATCTCAGCTTTTGGTAGATCTTGCTGACTGCATTTTTAGACTATTTCACATGTGTCTGTGAAGGTTCTCATTCGTCCAGGTCATGGTATATCTGTAAAAAAAATAAGTCAAGACAACTGGACTTGCTGTATTTTTCTTGAAGACGTTTCACTGGTCATCCAACCAGCTTTCTCAATTCTGAGTTGGATGTCTTCAAGAAAAATACAGCAAGTCCAGTTGCCTTGACTTATTTTTTTTACAGATCCTTCACATGTGCTACTTTTTAAATATATACACAGCGCATAAATAAAATGTTAAACATAGATCATATACTCAAACACCCCACAATATGCTCAAGTGTATCCCTCCTATAGCAATATCAATTAAAGGAGAACTATGGTGTCAGGGCTTTTCCCCATAGTTCTCCTTAGGGTAACGGGAGGACACAAACTAGCATCCTCCCGTCACCCAAAGCTCAGTATATAGGGAGCTACAGCTCCCTATATACTGAGACGCTGAAGCAGATCCCGACAATTATGTCTGGATCCGCCCACCTGCGTGAGTGACAGCTGGCTCTGCCTATCTAGAGGCAGAGCCAGCTGTACCCTCCCCCGTCCGTTCCGCCAGTCAGCGCTGGAGGATCGGAGCGGGGAGGGGGGAATCCAGCCCCTCCCCTGTCACCGCAGAGAGCGGTGACAAGTGAGCGAACGCCGGTATGTGTTCGCTCACCTCCCGATCTACTGAGCCGACCTGTGACAGTCCCATTGTCACAGGTCGGCTAGAACTATGAGGTGAGTGAAGAGCACTCACCTCATAGTTCTCCTTTAATTTCAGTTAGTTACATAAAGCCATAATACACCCCCTCCCCCCCAAAAGTGATAACATCCGTCTCTTAATTCTTCTTCTCAAGCAGTCAGTTGCATACTCCTCTGTGATCCCCTCACAACATTGCACTCACCAGATGAAATGTCAACCTGTATTTACCATACTAAGGTCAAATAGCGCTTCAGTGCAATGATGATGATCACTCTGCAAAGGGAAAGGGCCTCAGACCGTTCATAGAAGAAGTTTTTAAAGTCTTCCAATCCCAAATGATTAACCCTCCTTTCCGACTCCGCTTCCTCCTCCGTATACCAACATATAAACGCAGAGAAAGCTCATCATGTAAAAAAGGTTTAATAAATGTCAACAAATAAAACCAAATGAACTTGCATAACCTCCTGCCGTCTGTCTGTTAAGAAAAAACGGACGGACGTGCTGTGAATGCCGAAGTAATGTGTATTACATCACTTCCGCATTCACCTGTCAGTCATCTGGCTGCTATAGCCAGAGAGAAGAAGCTGATGAAGCAGATCTCTGCTTCATCAGCTTCTTTTGGGGTCCCCAGATGACATTAGGGGTCCTAGGGACCCATAATGTCTCCATAAACAGGACCTGTCAGTGTACCTGTGCTATTATATAGGGGAATTATATCCCCCTATGTAATAGTAATCACAATAAGTGTAAAAAATATATATTTTTTACACTTATTGTCCGGCTAGAAGGGAAACTATAAGTATAAGTGACACTAAACTCAGGATTTAAATCTTAAAAATGCATTCAAGTACCTTTTAACTATTAATAAAAATGTATCTTATTTGTGTATCACTCGGCTGTAGATCCTCAAATCATCTCTGAATTGGTGCTATTTTTGTTAATAGTTAAGGTACTTGAATGTATTTTTAAGATTTAACTTCTGAGTTTGGTGTCACTTTAAGTCTTTTAACTCTTGAAACTGAAAAGCCAGAGTCTTACCTTCCCGTACTTCCAAATTTACCCAGTCCATCCTCTTTCAGCATTCTTCTCAATAAGCACCTCCGCAACACTGTAGTGTGAAAAAAAGAAAATGTATTGTAGGAGTGCCATTTATTTTATTTTTTTTGCATGTACATCGGCGTGGGGGGTGTAATGAAGGGGTATATACAGGTTGGTACACAAGGTTGGTACTCAAGTGGATAACAATTGATCAAGAGGCGTTAGACCCCCCCTTGTAAAGGCTATAGCAGATGTGCAGACATGGGGACTAAAAGCAGAACCCCAGCACCTTATTTTCTAATATTTCCTTTTTTACTATTTGCTAAGGGAACAAGCGCCTATTGTTTTAGTGAAACAACCTCAATGTCTTTGTCATGATGTCGTCCTCTAGTATCTGGGTTAGGGTGTGCTCTCTTCCGTGAGTTATGTTAGTTGGCCGTACGCCTACCTACCGGCTGAACAAAGAAAATGTAACAGATTCCTCTAACGCTTATGAGCATTTAGCAAGGAGTCTACAGCTTGTCAGAATACCCGAACAGACCGGGCAGCTCATTGGCTGCCCGCTCTGTTCGAAGATTTTCCAACCGGCTCCTTCGTTCCACTGATGGAGGGACGCTGGCCAACAGCGGCACCCACTGCGCGAATTTCGGCCAGTTCATCAAGACCCAAATGGAATTCACACATTGTGAAGGGAATTTATCACAATTGGAGCAGACAAAATGTGGAGCAGCTGTGCACAGCAACCAATCGGCTTCTCTCTTTGATTTTCAAATCTTAACTCAAAAAACTGAAAAGAGAAGCTCTGATTGGTTGCCATGGGCAACTGCTCCAGTTTTGATAAACTCCCCTCTTCATGTCCTTCTTAACCCTTCCTCACTCTAGTTTGGTAGATAAGGACATTAATCCTTGTAAAAACCTACACTGGGCTGACTGAGTATATTTCAGTAAAGGCTCTGATTGTCCTTAGTACAAGGGTTATCCCTCACTTCCTGTCCCAGCGATATTTAACAGGAAGTAATTTGAATAAACTAGCAGAGACCTCAATCCTTTATATCGAAAACAAAAGTAGAAGGAACAGCTAAAAGTACACTGCGGTCTTCTGATGAATCTATTATAACAGTTCAGTATTTCATTAGTTTGTTGCAAAATCAATCAAAATTGTAAATTACTAAAAGTCTCTCCATGTGTGTGTCAAATACCCAACACTATATACAAGGAAGTGAAATACATACACTAGAGTGTCTCTCTCTCTCTCTCTCTCGCTCTCTCTCATATCTCGCTCTCTCTCATATCTCGCTCTCTCTCTCTCTCTCTCGCTCTCTCTCATATCTCGCTCTCTCTCATATCTCTCTCTCTCATATCTCGCTCTCTCTCATATCTCGCTCTCTCTCATATCTCGCTCTCTCTCATATCTCGCTCTCTCTCATATCTCGCTCTCTCTCATATCTCGCTCTCTCTCATATACACCGAGTGGCCAGATTATTATGACCACCCCATCAGTACTTCGTTGGGCCACGAGATGTTGAAAGGTTATGCGAGGAATCTGACACTGCGCTGTTGCCCTTCCGTTGTCTTGTACCAGTCTTGCCACTCTCCGTTCTGCCTTAACATTGACCAGTCGCTGACGGCCACAATTCGCACGTTCAGACCCAGATTTTAGGCTGACAGTCCGGTCTTTAAACACTTTAACAATGAGCCCCTCTTGAACATTTAACGAATTCTGCTGTTTTGCTGATACTCGCTCCATGGCTCCGAGCGCCAACAATCATCCCGCGTTCAAAGGCTGTTAAATCGCGTTGTTTCCCCGTATCTTCAGAAACAAATCACTTCTACTGTCGTGGTAAACAACCTGCTTCCCTATTTATAATGGTCTGGCCCTCTAGCAACTTCAGCGCGAAATTATAGCTAATTATAGCTAATTGCCTACAAAACATCAGGTAATTAGCTATAATAATCTGGCCACTCAGTGTATCTCGCTCTCTCTCATATCTCTCTCTCTCTCTCTCTCTCTCTCTCTCTCTCTCTCTCATATATCTCTCTCTCTATCTCTCCAATATATCTCGCTCTCCAATATATCTCGCGCTCTCTCATATCTCGCGCTCTCTCTCATATCTCTCGCTCTCTCTCCCCGATAGTGTACATGCAGCTCTTTTTCTTTTGTTTTTCATGTATATGTTTTTATAGCGAGTACCTGCCAATATTTGTATATGATATCCAATGAAATAACTCGGTTGCTCATTTGTTTTATATAGACTTCAATTCTTTCTCAGTTTGTTCAAAACAAAAACCAAATATAAAAAGCTTTAATTGGACTCTACTTTTACTCTACAGAATGATCAGCGCTAAGCACTTTGTAGAGAACATTTTTGGAAAGGCTATTTGTCTTTTTTGCACAGCTGCTGTAGAGGGTTCGTCTTTTTAGGAATAGGAGCACGGATTTGTTTGAGAATATTAATTGGAGTTTAGGCTGAATTCTTTAAAGATGGCAAATTTCTACTTCCATTAAATTGCTTGTATAGCCAAAGAGCCAAGATAGATTGGAAGGATACTAAAACTCCTGCCAGGCCATTTGTTTCGGTCTCTGCCCTGCTGGGAAGATTTCAGTTCTGGTCTTTGAAAGTAAGTCAGAGGAAATTTCTCTGAAGTGAGGGGAATTTTATCCCCCTCGCCTCTTGCTCTCATGACAACTCAAAAATGTTATCTAATAAGGTTTAAATTATACATGGCTTCCAAATGAACCGGTTCACTGTATTGTAGACCTACACAGAGATATATACTTACCGTTCACTCCACTGCTGCTCTGCTTAACTGCAGGAAACGTAAGGAAAGCCCCATGTAAGCCAAGGCTCGATGGATGTTCCATTCAGATCCGCAGGGGTGTTCCTAGCCATTTAAAATCGTGCTGCTTGCATCCAGAGGCGGTCATCTGTCTCTAGCTGGCTGTAATGGCTCCATGTTCGATTTATATCAGAACACAGGGACAGCTGTGGCTGTTGGCCTGTCATTACTTTCTACAGCTGTCTGGAGCCACCTGGAAGGGCCCATTCACACCACATCCAGATCATCTCCAGACCAGATTGTTTCCGGACCCAAAATGCATCCTAATGTATCCCTATGCTATTTCTGTCCTCTTCTCACACCAGCGCGTGTGCATTCCAGACCAGAAAAATACTCCACATGTATTTGTCTGGTCTGGAATGCACTGGACCTGCGAGCAGGTTCACACCATTTTTCAGACAAGATCTGGTCTGGAAAATGGTGTGAACCTGCCAGAAATCCTTTGCACGAATCCTGCTTCGGAGAAAACCACATCATGTGAACGAGGCCTTGGAGCAATCATTCCAGCCTGAGATTGATGAGTTTGTACTCAAATGACAAACAAATAATGTTAACAATACCTACAACCAGTAATCTTCCTTTACATTGATAAAGTCAGTCAGTGAGTGTGAGAAAAAGGGAGAATGGTTTCATTCCTTCCAAGCATTCCTCTGGGAAAGAGAAGGGACATCTAGCGAATGAGGCAAAATGATACAGCTCTCCATTCAACAAAAGCTGATTTTTCAGAAGACTTTTGTCCAAGGAGGTGGGCAAAAATTTGACAGCCCAACAAAAAAACTACAACCAATCAGCTTCTGTTTGTATATACTGTTCATATATTCTGACAGTGGTGAGTGGGAACTGTCCGCATACAGAGCCGACAGGGGAGATTCCCCCATCCATGCTGAATTAAGTGTATGGCCAGCTTTACTGTGCCATGAGCGAGAGTCTCACAGCCACATAAACACTCAAGCGATGATTTTAATAAAAAAAAAAAAGAGAATATGAACCAGTAGAATACAATATGTCTGCGCTTACCTTAAAGAAAAACCTTATTAACCATTTACAAATTACACAGCAAAGGAAATAGAAAATAAACACTTTAGTGAGAACCATGTTACACACAACATAAAATATAGAGGTCAGCTATATGTGAGCTGTAATGTTGTAAACCGAATATAGAGTGTAGCGGCCAGGACTGTGCAATGCACATTATAGTACAGATCAGGCGTATGTAACATATGGAGTGCAAGGCTGAGGCCCAGTTTACATGTGGCGATCCGTGAATAAGTGTTCATGAGCAGTTTTGCCGCACGTCAGCTCATTCATTTCAATGGGCTGCCGCCCGCATGACAACTGCAGCAAAGAAGCTCATGCAACATTTTCAGCTGTAAGCTTCCTGTGTTTTTTGACCACATCTCCAAAATACACGTTTTCCTGGCCGCTTTTTGGGCAAGCACAACGTGCTTCTGACATGTTGCGTGAACGTGCACCAATGCATGTGCATGAGGTGCATTAATGGAATGCCAAAGTGCCAAACCGGGCTTCAGAGTGTGTAATGTTCAGGGGTCAAGAGTATATATCATATAGTGCATAGAGGTTAGGTATATGTAATGTACACAGTGGTGGTCAGGTGTAGGTAATTTGCAGAGTTCAGGGGTCAGGAGTATATTATATATAGTGAGGAGGTTAGGTATATGCAATATACACCATACTGGAGTTGGGTGTAGGTAATGTACACAGTGCAGGGGTCAGGAGTATGTATTATATATACTGTAGAGGTCAGGTGTATGTAATGTACAAAGTGGTGGAGTCGGGTGTATACACAGTGCAAGGGTCAGGTGTAGGTAACATGCAGAGTTCAGGGGTATGTATCATATATAGTGTAGAGGTCAAGTTTATGTAATGTATACACTGCTGGGTTTAGGTGAATCTAACCCTCAGAGTGCAGGGTAGTGTTATGTACACATACATACATATCTCGCTCTCTCTCATATCTCGCTCTCTCTCATATCTCGCTCTCTCTCATATCTCGCTCTCTCTCATATCTCGCTCTCTCTCATATACACCGAGTGGCCAGATTATTATGACCACCCCATCAGTACTTCGTTGGGCCACGAGATGTTGAAAGGTTATGCGAGGAATCTGACACTGCGCTGTTGCCCTTCCGTTGTCTTGTACCAGTCTTGCCACTCTCCGTACACATACATACATACAAAAAACAAACCTTGGATACAAATACACGCACACTTTCTCGTATAACCAGTCTTTCTTTTCTGGGCAGACAATTTGCTGGCATTCCTGCCTGCAGCCTCCTCTGCTCCCCGGTGTCTCCACTTTTTCTGGCACAAAGTGCAGGGGCGGCATTACTGAGGAGGAAGGGCATGCCGACCTGTTCCCTGTGTAAGGCTGCCCTCTTCACATTTTGCACTGAAGGCAGAGGCTGCCTTGAAGCAATATGGCGGGCAGCCCCAGCAGTGCTCAGCATAGCAATGTTCATCTGTACTAATGCAGGGGGTGGCAGGCAGGCATACTGGGCTGCCAAAATGCCGCTCTGCTTGCTTCCCCCATGGGACTGAAAGAGGCGCTGCCTGAGACAAAAGTCTCTGGTTTCCTCATTGTAGACTACCCTACAGGAATGCAAAGGAGCGGTTGAGTATATGCTGCTGGGGAGTGAGCTTTGATTTAAACTGAACAAATCAAATACTGATCTATATTTTATTTATTTGCAGGCTGGAGATTCCATTTTGACAAATGACATGGGCGTCCATCCAGTGTTCCTGTGAAAGGCTTGGGAATCCTCTCTTCTGAAAACGATGGAGTAGCGTTAACAGAAGAAGCACGATGGTCTCTGCAGTGAAGGAGCAGCAAATTTGCATGCTGTGCCAAAGTAGCCACACTGCAGACAGAGGACTATGCTGTAAATACAACTCGAGAGACGTGGGCAGCACACAGCTTGTACAATTCAGATTTTAATACATTTTTACTGACGTAATTATTCAATTTTTTTTTTCTGTTTCTCTTCCTTTTTCTGTGCGTTCTTAGACCCTATTTTGTGCGAGACAGGGAGGTCTATTATAACAAACAACGGTGACCACTAGTTCTGTTTTTTCCTTTTTTGTTTCGTTTGCCTTTCATAACTCTGTTTTAGTAATATAAAACTAGATTTTGCTGCCCGTGTCCTTTGACATGTAATGAGCTTTTTAGCTTGGAGCGACCAAACTTTTATTTTATTCTTTTTTTTTTTTGTCTGATGGAAAAAAAAGAGCTATGCCAGATGGAACGTCATCCATCGACCTGCTCTGTGATAATTCTGTGCAGCTTTATATAAACGTATTGCATTTTCTATTCTGAATATTATACTGTACATCCTAATTACCCCCCCTCCCCAGCACCACCACCCTACACGGGGCTCATTCACAGTAGTTACTAGCCCCTTTTTTTGCACTTTAAAACTCGACAAAAACTCTTTTTTTTTTTTTTTTTACTTCAGTCACATGAGAGGATTTCATGTTTTGTGCTGATGTCCGATAAGACAAAAACCTGCTTTTTTAAAGTGTGTTTAAGTCCGAATTGCCACAATTCAACTGGCTTGTCGCACTCCTTACCGAATGTCCCATATAATAGGGGGCTGCTCGCAGTGACTGCGGATGGAGCCGCTAGTATCGGCAAACATCGGGATCACAAAATGTTTATTTGTCGGAGATTCTTGTCATGAAACTAAGTCCGAATTGGGTGACATCTTCTTTGCTAAAATGATGCATAGTATAAACAGCTGACCGGTATTTTTTCCCTTAAGTTCCTTGTTACTCCTTATATCATCTTGTTGCTGTTTTCCATCCATATCCTGTCTACATAGATCCAGCAGAGGAACTCCAGCAGAGGCTGCACATTATTGCTCTATATTGGCTTCCTGTGAGCCATGCCTGCGCAATGTGTGTATGAACAGCCTCTTGTAGTGTCCACCAGGCGGCACATGTGACGGTGACAACACAGGAGGACAGTTGGCGGATGACCACTGCGTATAGGACCAAACATTTGGTTTTATGTGATGCTGCCATTTTTAATGCTGTATTTTACTTGGAATGAAAATGAATGGGGTTAGTTTACTAAAACATTTCCTCTTATTTGGGGATATTTACTTTTGCCAAGTGAACAGCCCCTATTACTTTAGTAAATCAATCCCAATCTTTGTCATGCCGAGCTGATAAAATCTACATCAACTCTAGCTTTGGGGTTAAGGCTTGCAATCTATACGGCTTGAATTCCAGCTGACATTGATCCCATTTAAAATGATTTTTGATTGAGAAAAATCTCTGTCACAATTGTCAGGTGAAATGAAAGTGGCACTAAGCTCGGAAGTTACATCTTACAAAATACATTCAAGTACCCGAAGTATTAACAATAATGTATCTTATTTGTGTATCACTCGGCTGTAGATCCTCAAATCGTCTCTGAATTGGTGCTGCCACTGTCCTTCCTTCTGGAGGGGGGCTACTTTTGTTCCCCATGGTCCCTGTGTGTGTTGTAATGTGGTGACAACTTTCCAACACACACAGGGACCATTGGGAACAAAAGTAGCCCCTTCCAGAAGGAAGGACAGTGTCGGCACCAATTCAGAGATGATTTGAGGATCTACAGCCGAGTGATACACAAATAAGATACATTTTTGTTCATAGTTAAGGTATTTGGATGTATTTTTAAGATTTAACTTCTGAGTTTAGTGTCACTTTAAACATTTTTGCTCCAAATTCTTGTACTCTTAGTGTGACCCAGTCAGTTGCCTAAAAATAAAAATCTGAATGACCGTTCCCTGCACCAGGAGAGCTCTTATACTCGCCTGTCCTGTGCCGTGTGTCTCCTACCTTCTCTTCATTCCAGCTCTGCAGACAGACTGTTCAGCAATCAGCTTTTCTGGGAGTGTTGGATGCCTTTAGTCCTCCAACCCCTTTGTCACTACACAACAATGAACTGCAGGTCCCAAAATTAAAACCACAGCACGTGGCAGGGGCACAGGTATCCAATGTCCCTAGAGACTGCAGTGCTGTAACAGATGGAAGGTAGGAGACACGGTTCACCAGTGAAGTGAATATAATGGCTCTTCTATTGCCATTTACAGTTTTTTAGGTGAGGGACAGGGTTTACCTTAAAGGAGAGCTGCTTGCCTGAACCAGGGCTTGGCAAACTTCGGCCCTCCAGAGGCGGTAAATCTATAAATCCCATGAGGCATTGCAAGACTCCATGTGCATGACTTCGAGAAGCAGATGCATGATGGGATTTGTTTCACCACAGCTGGAGGGCCAACATTTGGTTTGCCTTGTCCTAAGCTATCTGTAACCCAGCCAAGCGAATTTGCACTAATTCTCACCCCAGCTGCTTTCCTACCCGCTGTGCACTGGCTTTCCATAGACTTCAATATCCAGAGCCTCTGCATACAGTTCTTTTCAAGTTCATTTTCACATACACAATCCTCCACTAAGCACCTCCGAGGTTACTTCTGGTCATTTAACATCTTGTGACATAGCCTGGCCTCTGAAATTCCTGCATAGAAGTACGAAACCCTTTAACCATGTTAAACGTTTGTGTGTTTTGCACAGAAATCAATGTATTTAGAAATGAATCTAATGTAAACCAGCCCTAAAAAGTACAGATTTACAGATCTTTTACCTTCACTTCTTTTTCACTTGAGAAAACTTTCACGTTTTGTAGATTTTACTGCCTGCTGGGTTGCCGAGTGTAATTGTTTGCGGGAGAGCAGAATCTCTGTTGTGTTTTTTTCTATTACGGCTCTGCAAACCGGCGTCACCGAACGGAGGTTTGCAGCGGCCGGTAACCAGTGTTTTACTCGTACCTTTGTTCAATTTTGTGCTCTTTGTTTGGAATTGTAATGTTAAGTCTGCTGAGGTTTTTTTTTTTTGCAAAACTTCAAAACCAAGTACCAAACAGATTTTTATTCCCCCCCCCCCCCCCCCCCGTTCATTATGGTTACAAAATAGCTGTATGTCCACCGGTAACATAGATGTTTGTCTTATTTACTACACTACTATTTCCGTTTACTCAAGCCTTCAGAGCTCACTTTTCTACAAGGATGTCGGGACATAATTTTTTTACTATCTATATCTATATGTGTATATATATCTATAGATATATATATCTATCTATATAAGGACTGATGCATCTAAAGTAGTTAATGAAACCCTGTCAGGTTCCCAAAGAGAAAAAGGCCATTTCCCTGCACTAGGAGACACAGTGCACTCGCCGGCGGCCTTATCTCCTTTCTGGTACTGCAGCCTCTGTAAGCCCCCTTTGGAGTTCTGCACTTCCAGGAGTGTCAGATATCTCTGGTTCCTTCCAGCGACTGCTTTGTCACTACAGGATTCAGCAGTAATATTGGAGGATGGAACCACGGCACACAGGGTAAGACATTCTGGGAAGTGTCAAATGGTAAAGAGGCTTTCACGGGGGTTGCAGTGATGGAAAGGGGAGGAGACGTGGCGTGCTAAAGCATGCTGGGTCTCTGATAATGCTCTTGCAGTTTAATTCGGTCAATACCATCCAGGAAACATTGCCACCATTTGGAAGTCAGTCCATCAGTTTTACCTTAAAGTGACACTAAACTCAGGAGTTAAATCTTAAAAATACATTCCAGCACCTCAACTATTAAAAATGTGCTATTTGTGTATCACTCGGCTGTAGATCTTCAAATCATCTCTGAATTGGTGCTGACATTGTCCTTCCTTCTGGAGGGTGGCTACTTTTGTTCCCCATGGTCCCTGTGTGTGTTGTAAAGTAGTCATTGCTCCCGTGATGGACTACAATCTCAATACAAATTAATAATCTAAACATGAGATTGTAGTCCATCACAGGAGTGAGCTTGGAGCGGTGACTACTGTACAACACACACAGGGACCATGGGGAACAAAAGTAGCCACCCTCCAGAAGGAAGGACAATGTCAGCACCAATTCAGAGATGATTTGAGGATCTACAGCCGAGTGATACACAAATAGGATACATTTTTTTTAGTTTTTAGAGTACTTGAACGTATTTTTAAGATTTCAATCCTGAGTTTAGTGTCACTTTAATGTACATTTTATAGTTTCCCTTCTACCCGGACTTGTTAAGTTTCTGGGTAGGATTCTTGTCTCATGCCTATCATATGTGGAAACTGTATGTGGTCAGAGTTGCAGTAGGGCCGCAGAGGGCCGGGTTTGAAGCAGTGAGAACACTGGCCTGTATTTTATCAGGTAGCATTCACTTTTAGAGGTCAGAATCTGGGTAGTATAGGCGAATGATGGCAACTTCTATAAGGACTTTGTTGGCAGGTCTGCCGGGTGCCAAGGACACTAAGCAAGTTACATTTTTGCAGATGGACTTGCATAGTATGGTTTAGGCGTTAAACACGGACTGCATATCAGTACATCGGTGTTGTGGCTCTTAAAATGTTAAGTGCTTGGTAAGTTAAGAATATTTCATTGGGAAACTTTTATAAATTCTTATTTTTAAAAAGGATGGGGTCAGGGGGGTGTTTTTTGGTTCACGTCTGGCAATTTCTAATGAATGCTGACTGGTGGTTACAGTGACAGCTCCAGGGACATCTGTACTAAAATACTATTCCCCACACCTTTAGGACAGTTTGCTGCTACGCTAATCTGACAGCATGATGGGTGACACTTAAAGAAGGTTTCTACCCAACTTCACCCTAAGGGCCCATTCACACAACATGCTCTGGGGCTGCGCTGCCAATTGTTTCCAGCGTCACCCCAATGCAAGACAAGGCAATTTGCCTTGTCACTGACGGGCTGGGTTCACACCACCATGTTGCAATGGGAACGCGGTGGTGTGTGCTGAAGAAAAAAGTACGACGTGATGTACTTTTTTTCAGTGAAGCTGGATGTGACGCGGAACAACCGCCTTCCACACTCTAGAACTGAATGTAATTTGTGACATTTCAATAAAGTTCTACCAAAAACAAAAGTACACCGTGCG